CACACCTGCAGGCATGCCCAGTCACTGGGGGACTACAAAACCACCTGACCCATCAGCAAACCCTGCTGGCTCAAATCTGGCCACATCCCAACACCTCTACCACTGCCCCTGTGTCCAAGTCATCACTCCCATTCCTGGACAATTGTCCAACGTACAGGTATTGAACGAATGAATGAACAACATCAAGAGTGGGAGAGCAGAATTATCCACTGTCCTCTTCCTACAGGTGCTAAGGTCTTTAGTCCATGACCCCATCCCCTGCCTCAGGTCTAGCCTAGCAAGATCTTTAAGTTGTTTCAGAGAATTTTGGGGTTCCCGGGTTGGGAAAGTTGGTTTGATTGTGGAATGGCCAACTGTGATGTACACTGTATTGCTCTGCTAAGATCGCCCTGCAGGATAAAGGCCTCCTTCTCCTAGCTTTTGGGAGTGTGGCATGAAGGTAGCCCTCGTCACTCCACCCTATAGCAACTGGTAGGCTGGAGAGAGCAACCTTGCCCAAGATCACAAACCCTTCCCAGGGATATAAAGGCCAAGCCCTCTTGCCTCAACTTAGAATAACTGAAGGGCCATCCTGAATTTAGGGTTTCCTAAGAGGTTGGCTGAGGTCTTTGTGGTGACTGCACCACAGAGCGGTCACCTCTGCCTGGACCTGCTCCCTCTCCTTCCCATCCACAGGTGTCACTGCCAAGATCACTCCCCAAAATGCCTTTTCCATCAATCCCAATACATTTCCTTGATTTCCATGGAATCTAACAAGCAATCCCGGTAAACAGGGTAAAGTTTATCTTGGAGGATGGATTTATTTGAGTTCTCAATCATAAGTCAGTAAATTACAGCCTGCAGGCCAAATCTGGCCCATTGCTTGTTTTTATAAATAAAGTTTTATTGGCAACGGGCACACTCATGTATGTATGCATTGTCTATGGCTGCTTTTGCACTACAACAGCAGAGTTGAGGAGTCGCTAAAGAAATCATATAGCCCACAAAGCTGGACATATTTCCTAACTGACCCTTTACCGAAAAAAAAAAAAAAGTTGCTGATCTCAGTTCTAGATCATTAAAGAAAAAAAAATCACATTTGTAAAATAAAGGTTTCTTAAATATCCTCTGTCCCCTCTAGTAAGAAGTCCTCGTGGGCTGGGGAGCTGAGTCTAATGCAGCCTTGCCCCTCACAGATGGGCTTGGCATGTGGACACACAGTGTGCATTCTTCCCATGAGTGGTGTGGGTGAAATAAACCTTACTCACTATTAACGTGGCTGAACATGACATCTAAACACGAGAGGACACAGCACTCATTTGGTGACCTGGCAGGGATTTCTTCCAGTCTTCCATGCTTTTGTTCACTAGGGATTCTAAACTTCACTGGGGCCTTCTCAGACCAATGACACCAGCACACGTGCACTGCCTGAGGGTGTTCCAACACAGAGGGTCCAGCACAGACATGAACGCATGGGGTGACAGGAGGGAACCCACAGTGTTCACCCGTCTCATCTCCCGTGGCATCTAGCAACATCAGAACATTTTGCTCCATCTACTTGGAGTCTCAGGAATGGAGGCAAGCTTCAGACCTAGCCACATATGCAAAATAAAACTGGCAGTGAGCAATGTGTCTAAGTCAATAGTGTTTCAGGCATGCACATTCAGTGAGGAGGGAACCACTTGGATCAATATCGTATACCCTCTAGAACACCACAAAGAACTGGATCTCAGTCTGGGAAGGATTTCCAAGCCAATAGATTTTAACTGCATCAAATAACATGGTCTATTACATTCCATCAGAAATTAACTTATAGTTCACTCTGCTAATAGAGTTTAGCAGCGTAACTGGCCACCAAATACTGGGATTACTCCACACGTCCACGAGCAGTATTTGAATACCACCTTTGGCAGTGACGGCGGAGAACGGGCCTGCCGTTGAGAGAGTCACCATCCTAACTTCTCTGTGCAGGGCTGTCACCGAGAAGGGTACAAATACACAGCAGGTCCAAATACACAGCTCTGGCATTTAATGACCACATGGATTTGGGCAAATCATTTTATCTTCAAGCTCATTTGTTGTGTCTGCAAAATAGGAATAATGATACTCTCTTTATAGATGATTTGAATAATTCGAATTAATAGATGTAGTCCAGGGCCTGGCACCAGGGATTCCCAGAACATAATGTTGTGGTTATGGATAAGATGATGATGATGATGATGATGATGATGGAGACAATAATGGTGATGAAATGTTTTCTTATAATAGATGCAGGGATTTGTACAATGGCCTCCCACATGGTGCTAGCAGAATGCTTCCCAACAGTAGAGATGAAAAGATAAAACATACAGGGACAGAGGAGATGAGCAAGGAAAAAAGCAATTCCCAAATCCTCGGATCCAGAAAGGAGTGCAGGTACCCACGTGTCTCCTGGAATGCTGTCTCAGAAGACACGGCCTATTTGCACTGCATGTCTGTTAAGTTTCCTATTTTCCCTAATCTTAGTAATCTTTCTGGGTGTGTATCCTGGAGGCTCATTCAAGAATACAATTTGTAGGACTTTCTGTCCAGTGACCTAATGGCTAGCACTGAAATTGCCTTGCAGAGGTCTGTAGACTCTCTTGGGCTGTACCTCCCAGGCAGCTGGATGTCAGTGAGTCAGCCCACAGTGGATCCCGCTCATGAGGTACTTTGGAACCCAGATAAAAAGAATTGGATTCAGCAACTATGAAGTCTGAAGGCTGCTAATAGCATGTGCAACCACAGGAGGCTGTCAGGAATGCCTCAGATAAGAGTCTAGTTTCAGACAGGAAAATATAAACAGTTCCCCTGAGTTTTAATGAGCACTGCCATGGTCTGAAAGCCCTTGCATTAAGGCTAAAAAGTCTCCAAGACTGAAGGTCAGTGAGCTCACCCCAAAACATCGTGCAGATTGTTCTAGGATGGACTATGGTCATTAGAGTCAATGAACTGCCCTTGGGAATTTTAGGCAAGAATTCTACGGCACAGACAGAAATGCCTTCTTGTCACCTGAGAAGTACAGTCCACTGAAATTAGCTTCTGAGTGAGAGAGCACGCAGCACAAGGGTACGCGTGTACGTGTGAGTCGGTGGACGCTAAGGCTCTGTGGCTTTGCACTTTGCGACTGAGGGGTCCAGATGCATGGATCCCCCCTCAGGCAGATAGAGTAGAGATCTTTTCCTTAAACTTGAAGGAACCTTCAAGAACACTCAGTCCACCCAGAGGAAGAAAATAAGCCCAGAGAGTGTGGCTTGTCCACATTCACCGAGCTGGAAAGAACAGAGCAGGAACTCTAAAAGAAGGTGTTCAAGACTCCCCTGGCCTCTGGGACTATCTCTTTGCTCAAACGGTAGAATGAGGCCTCACGATGTAGAGCCGCTCGCGTGCTCCACATGCGAACTTTGGGATATGTGGTTATCCTGAGGGACGTCAGCTCCTGGGATGTAGAGTTAACTTACACTATTTGCCTGAGAAAATCCTTTACAGGAGTCGTCATTTCATAAAGTCACAATCAAAAATGCTCTCTGCACCAAAGCCAAAAAATAAATTGGAGGAGCTTTCTCCACTCTTGCTCTTCTCCTCTGAGACGAATGTTTGAGATCTGGCTCTAGTTATTTTTAAAGAGACTTTGGTGGAAAGTGCTATAAATCCAAATGGTTGTTTCACACCAGGAGACACAGTGTAAAGACAAGGATGTACTTCATCCAGGGTAGCAACAACCATACAGGTTGTGTATTTCTGGAATTTTCATCAACATGGAAGATGAAGTGCTTAGCTCGAGCAATCTCTTTAAATACCAAAGTGGGGTTTCTCTTGGAAACGCTGATGGCTGCGTACGTCTTCCTTCCTGCAGTTAAGTCTGCAAGACTCAGGCATCACAATGGTTTAATCAATCTGAAATCCATGTCAAATTGCCTTAAAAGTCTCTGAGCATTCAATATATGTACACTAGTAAAAATTAACTACATCACTTAGCATTTCTATGCACATTATACTTTAAATGTTTCATAGTCATTTTTATTAATTAATAAAGCTTTAATGGACAAAAATTATACCATAAAATTATTATTCATATACTGCAGTTTCAATTTTACTACTATTATCTTTAAACATTTATTTTCTCCAAATGGAAAGCCACAAATTCATACGCCAGAGTCTCTTATAGAAAGTAAAGTTGAAAATCAGAAGTTTATACAGAGAAAGAATGAATCTGGTCTCTTTCCTCCAAAAAAGACCTGCCCTCCTCTTCCCATTCCCCAAGAAAGGTGGAGTGTCCCCAGGGCAGGTCACCTGGGGAATTCTGCCTGGCCCTGGAAACAGCAACACGTCCAGGCCATGTTGCCCCGGGAGACACAGCCACAGAGATAGAAAATTGTCTGCTGCTGTCTGGCATGGAGAGTCTCTGACTTGCCTCAGTTAGAAAATGTCCTGTAATTACTACACACACACACAGACCCACACACACACACACACACACACTCACACTCACACATAGTCTCACACTACATACTCCACTATGGAATTTTGTGGTCAAGGATTTTATGATACTTATGAAACTAACTCATAAATACCAGCTATGTGATTGAAAAGTAAAAAGTACAGAATTCTGAACACTTCCAAATATACAGATGTTTGGCACCAGAGATGAAACATGTGGGGGTGGATGGCATTTTGTTCTTCTCACCCTGTTTCGGAACTCGATTCGAAATTGACTTTCTGTGGGGGTGATCATTTCCTACTCGTTACATATGGTCTGGAACTACTGGGAACAAGAATCTGAGGGACGGTCTCTCATAATCTACAAAGGTCTCATCTAAGAAAATCTACCCACTCATGCGACGACACTGAGCTCGCCGTTGTCAACTTTGAGCTGAGCAGGTCAAAAGCGACTCTACTGAGAAATGCCTCTGGGATACGCCGCCTAGCAGAAGCCCACGTTAGATCCACCCAGGCAGGACGCGTTCGTCCATCGCCCCCTTTTGGATGGACGTGCCACTCACCTGCCGTGTAACTCCAGCCGGGAATGTGAATGGAGAGCTGGTTGGCACGACCGCTGGGGTGACAATGCGTCGCGTGGTCCTCTGTCCCTTTTCTTACAGTGATCTGGTTGGTTCCCACATCTGCAAACTCTGTGTTTTCCAGCGGAGGGGCGCTGCTCCAAGGGCACGTGCCGGTCTCCAAATGCACCTGCCCCAGCGATGGGTTTTCCCTCAAGCGGCTTTCTTGTCCACCTGGGTTCCAGCGCCGGCCTAGGAGGCTCTGGCTTCCCTCGGTGAGCTCCGGCTTCAGGGCGCTGCCTATTGGCTCTCCGTTCACCAGGCCATCTGCCCCCTCTGCTGTCAACCTGTGGGAACTGCAGTTGAGGGTGAGCGACAGGACGGATCTGTGCATCGGGGGGCCGGCAATCTGAGGCTGCTCAGTGGGGTCGGAGAGAGGCTTATCTAAGTAGTAGATTGAATTCGGACTCCGCCGGGACACCCCGAGGTGGACACAGGAACTGAACAGCAGCGGGCCCTTTCCCGACGGCGGGGCGTCTGATGTAAACCTGGTCTCTCTGTCGTCCACATGGGTGACCCAGTACTCGCGTCCCTCACACAGCCGTGCGTGGGCCTCAGGAACCTGCAGCCTCACCACGGAGCCGTTTCTGGAGAACGCCACGTGCCGCTGTGGGTGGGCACTGTCGGCCAGAGCCGGGGGGTCCTGGAGCAGGGTGTCCTGGGCCCTGCACCTGGGACACAGCGGGCCCCCAACAGTCCCCCACACCAGGGTGCTGGCCGGGGGGCCCACGCGCCTGGCTGTGATGGTGATGGATGCAAACCCTTTCTGGGGGCCACCACATGGGTTCTCCTCTTTGGGCGGCAGTTCTCTCTCAGGTCCTCGTTCATCTGCCAGTGTCGGAATTCCTAATCTGCCGGGGAGTAAAGCAAACACCCTGTGAATGTTGACTCCGCTGCGATTAGCCAAAGATTGCTTCAGGTGACGTGCAGGAGGCCGAGAGATCGCGCACGGCAGGGGCAGCACGGCCCCGTGGTCTCTTGACTTATTCTCATCAATCAGCTGGGAGAGGACTATGGAGGAAATCATTTTTGTGTTTTGCGATGCCAGAGTCTCCTGCAAATGGAAAAAGATTGGGATTATTCAAGCAGCCCATAGTAAAATAGGCAATAAACTGTCTTCGGGGGGCCACTGGGATGCCAGGGGACTTGGTTCATGACACTCAGACGTTCTCGTCCAAAGCTTTTTACTGCACACCTGACACCGTCTCTGAGCTCTCAGAAGGGCAGAAACCCCAGATCTGTCTATGAAAAGTTGCACATTCTGGAAACATTGGCCCGACTGCTGAACTCGTTTTCTCAGTGGGCGTGTATTCTTAGTTTATTCAATGATGTGCTGATGGGGATTGTCTGTTTCTGATAATCACCTCCACCATGCCCTGGAACCCCCAAATACAGGTTCACAGCCTCGATGGAGAGAAAAGACAGAATTCTGGAAGTGGGCTGGATTTGGGGTGCAGGTTTATGTGGGAGATGCGTCAGCATGACTGCAAGGAACCAGTGAGTGCGGTTACTGGACCCCCTCCCTGCCTGAGTTCCCCTTGAGGTCCTCCACCTCTGCTGGTGTAGACTCTTACTCCGTCACCCCCTGCCGCTTGGCATCATGGGAATCAAAGTTCAGAGAGCAAAACGGTGGGAACCAAAGGCCCAAGTGTGCAAGCTTGCCCCGACGAAAACAGTGACAATCAGGTGATTTCACTCGTCAGAATTGGGGTCGGGGCGTGGACGGAGACAGATGTAACGTTGCTGTGTTTCAATGACCAGCGGCATGAGTTTTGATCAGTATTTTAAATGATCGAGGTGTTTCATTCTTTCTAATCAGCAGATTATATGCCCTAGCAGTAAATTGCTAGTGTGTCCAAAATAGTGTTATGATTTTTAATAAAGCATCTAACCAGGTCAAGACCAGGAAGAAGAATCTCCTCTGCCCTCATTTTGTTTTTATTATGTTTATGTAGAAAGCGCCACAGAAAATGACACGGGAGACTGACTATATCCCAGCACTGAGTGAGTGCTAACGAGGTCCTGGGCCCGTTTCGATGTCGTTTTGTGTGCTTAAAATGAACCCTTGCATGGAGCTGCACAGGTTCCAAAGTCGTACCAGGACACCAGCAGCTACTAGGCCCCTGCTGCTTGCACAGAATCTTTGCTTTGGAAGCCCAAAGGTGTAACTGGGGTGCTCGGCCCCTGGAGCAGCAGCTCTCACACCCCAACATGCATGAGATTCACCCAGGATATCACAGCTGCAGGCTCCAGATTCTGATTCTGTAGGTCACAGGTGGCGCCCAGGCATCTGCATTTTAACTGACATCCTGGTCGTTTTGCTGTAGGTGATCCAGGCAGCACACTTTGAGAAACACAGATGGAGTCATGAGGTTGCTGGTTTTTCAAAGAAAACACTTTTGAAAGGACAGGGCCTGCATATGTTGGGAGCAGGGTGTATACTTTTCCTAAGATGTGATTAGCAAACACGGCGGCATTTTTCTTTTCTTTAGGGCCAGATTAATATTCATTTACTCAAGTAACGGAATGTTCTCCTCTAGCTGGACATTTGACACTGCAGGTCCACATGGCCGTAGGAGGACCAGCGTGTATGATCTTAGCCTGACTGTCAGGCATGGGAAGATGGTTGGTTTGTTTTTCATGATAATCTCCATCATCTTACATGTGGGTTTTTTTTTTAAAGATTTATGGGAAGTCGCCAATTCAAAAGATAACAGGAGATGAGCAAAGAGGAAAAAAAAATGTATAGGAGAGTCATTTTAAAATTTGCTTCATTTTTTAAAAAAATCAAAATATCCCTGGCTACATTTTTCCAAAAAGCAGATGGTCAATGCAGTAGCACTGAGTCAAGAGTGGGGACATGAGCCTTCCCTTTCAGCTGAACTGTCACCTCATGCCTGAGCTCACACTGGGCACCACTCGCTTGAGGCCAGGCTCTGCGGGGAGCCCGTTGGAGGTAGGGCCTCCTCCCCAGCAGGTCTCTGCCACCTGGGAGCTCGTCCAAACCCCAGTGCCCAGGCCTCACCCCCAAACAGTTAAAATAGAATCCCTGGGGAGGGAGGCCGAGGCACCAGTGTGCTTTAAAGCCTCCAGCACGATCCCCGCAGGCAGCCCTGTGCTTCGGTGACAAAATCTCCCACCGCTGCCCCAACAGCATTATTCATCGCTGCAGTTTCCGCACAAGAAAACTGAAGTGCACCTGGCGCCAATTTCACTTGGTACGAGTCCCTCCTATTTTAGTTAAATTTAGTTCCGATAATAATTGTTCCCATGCACCCTACGAGGTGCATAATCATACCCAGTAGGAACTCCTTTGACACTGATCTTTGAAGGAAAAAACAAATACCCATCTTGGAAACTGCAGGATCAGTTTTATTTTATAGTGTGATGATTCCCAAAGTCAGCACCAGTGACGACCTGCGTAGAAAACACCTGGATGGGGGTAAGCATGCAGATTTCTGGACCCCTCCCTCTCTGGACCTAGGTTGCATAGGGATTTATGGAGATAAAGCTCAGAATTTGTACTTTTAACCAGCTCCCAGGTGATTCTTCTACACAGACATGGTGGAAAGGATGCTGGGCTAGGATTTAGGTTGCCTGGTGGCCAGCCTGAGCCTGGGGTGCCCGCACTGGCTACAGGACTTGGACAGGACCTTGGCTTCCACAACAGCAGAGCAAGGAGAAAACTGGGGTGATTCTTGTGGAAACTCCAGGCTTTCTCATACTGTGGTATCTGACATCAAGAGGGTACCCCAAACCCCTGAGAGCCTTGGCCTTGGTATAAACATGGGATGTCTTGCTAGGAATGAATGAATGTCGTCTAAACCTGGGACAGACCCTGACTCTGGCAATGCTGACCTGGCTGCAGGTGCTGAGGGATGCCCTGGGGCTGTGCTGGGGGGGTTCAGGTGTGAGTATAACCCCAGAAGGACCCAGAAACCCAACGGATGGGATAGGGAATCTGCCACCATTTCATTACCTGGGGCCTGGCAAATATAACTACGATTTTGCCTCTGTCAGACGCAAATGGATGAGGGCACAGCAATAATGAGTGGCATGAATTTGAACTTATGTCTGAAGCCCTGGAGCCACTCTGTATGTCAGGGTGACACTGCTCCTGGGGAGACAAATGCTGATGAATGCCCAGTTCCAAAGAAACATGTATTTGCCCTCTTTATCTCACAGGGAAAAGGCAGAGATCAAAAAAGAGGAGGTACATGAAAGTGCCTCTCAAAATATGAGCATGTGATGCAGCCGCAGTTGTTACTCTTCCTACGACCCAGCAGCAATCAGAGGATACCTGGCATGATCCAACCCAGGGGCAGGAAGGGGTGTTTACACCAAAGTTGTGCCACATTTCAGTGGAATTTGCAATGAATGCATTCCGGTTTATCTGAATTGCATAAAAGTAGAAATAACTCATTACGTACCCAATAGATTGAAATTTTGTTGACGGAAATGTAGAATTAGTATAACTTTTAGGTGCAAATTCTGTTACTCATAACACAGTCATGATCAAACCGTTTGTTTATTTATTCATCTGACATTTTTTTGAGCACCTACCACGTGTCAGGTGCTACGTTCTTTTTGGCATGTAGACTCAGCTCTGACCAAAGCCCCAAACAACAACCTGAGAGAACTTAGAAAGGAAACACTGGCAGGCTCTATGCTCTTCAATACACGATTCCTCTGGTGCGGGAAATCCCATTTATCAAATCCTATTTCCTCAGTGAGACCCATCAAATAATTAAAGATAAGACCCAACCTCTTAAAATTCTCTATTAGTTTGCTAGGGCAGCCATAACAAAGTGCCACAGCGTGGGCGGCTTCAATAACAGAAATTTATTTTCTCAGTTCCAGGAGATGGAAGTCAGAGAGGAAGACATTGGCAGGGTTGCTTTCTTCGGAGGCATCTCTTTCTGGCTGGCAGACGGCCAGCTTCTTCCCAGGGTCTTCCCTCTGCCTCGCGTCTGGGTCCTCCTCATCTCTTCTTATAATCTTACCAGTCAGATTGGATAGGGACCATCCTAATGACCTCACTTTACCGTAATCACCTCTTTAAAGACCCTCTCTCCAAAGGCAGTCGCATTCTGAGGGAGTCCCAGGGGTTAGGACTTCAACAAATGAATTTATTTTAAGATGGGGGTAGGGGGAAAAATTCAGCCCATAACAGACTACAACATATCACTTTGTGTCCAATCCATCTTGCTGCGTTTGGGAAATCAAGAAAGAGATGAGAAGGAGGGGTTATTTAATGTTCCTAAGTTAACCTACTACTTTTAAAACTGGGCAAACTTTCTTTAGAAAGTAATTACATCTTTTATATCAAATATCTTCCCAAATTAAGCCATTTCAGGGTGACACTCCATCTGCCTTTTTTTTTTTGAGGTACAGAGTCTCACTCTTTTGCCCGGGCTAGAGTGAGTGCCGTGGTGTCATCCTAGCTCACAGCAACCTCAAACTCCTGGGCTCAAGCAATCCTTCTGCCTCAGCCTCCCGAGTAGCTGGGACTACAGGCATGCGCTACCATGCCCGGCTAATTTTTTTCTATATATTTTTAGTTGTCTGATTAATTTCTTTCTATTTTTAGTAGAGACAGGGTCTCGCTCTTGCTCAGGCTGGTTTCGAACTCCTGAGCTCAAACAATCCGCCCGCCTCGGCCTCCCAGAGTGCTAGGATTACAGGCGTGAGCCACCGTGCCCAGCCTCCATCTGCCTTTTATACTGGGTTAACTAAACAATCTCTTTGCAAAGAGATTCCTTTCCATCTAAAATAAACCGACATAAGATTTGATTTGAAAGGAAGAAGAAAATCATCTCCTATTTAAAGTAGAATGTCTGAGTGGGAGAGAGGTCAGATGAGTAGCTGGGTTTTGTGCCTTGCTTTGGTAGTAAACCATCCATTTCCCCACCAACACCGCACAACATAGTTTTCACATTTTCTTTCTTATAGATGCTGCTTTAAGACATTGATTTCTTTCAAATGTTTCAAACATTATTTTGCAGTACTGGTAACTGCCTTCATAGTTTATGCTTTTTATTGATTGTTTTTAACTTTATATTTGTGGCTTGAGAGATAGTAGTAAGAAGAGAATAATTTCATTAATTGAAATAAGAGACCGGCAGTGGATGATCAGAGAAATCAGACCCTGAGCCGCTGAAGGGAGGAGGCCTCCATCCCTGCTGCTATTCCTTTCTCCAGAGAACGAGCGTCTCAGCCAATCTCTGCCTTGAAACTGTGTTCTTCCCCATTGCTGCTACGCAACCTGCAACTGCCTTTGTTGAGGGACTCTTTGGGTACATCCATCCCCACATTTGCTGCGAACCTGCCTTCCCCTGCTTAGTCAACCTGAGATCATCATCCCTGCGTGATCTGTCAGCCTATGGCATTTTATCCTGAATGAAAGAGCGTTTTCTAATGCATGCACCCGCTCTGATCCGTAGCAACAGGGAAAGACAGTTTTAAGACAAATGGAAAAATCTGAGCTCTTCTCACTTTCCACAGTGAAACTTTTGTCTGTTCATGCAGTTACTAAAGATTAGATGCTGTGTAATATGTAGCAGTGAAAAGCCAGAAAGAATAATTTTTCCCCCAATTTTTTTCTTATGGTAAAATACACATAATATAAAATTTGCCATCTCAGCCATTTTAAGTGTATAATTGAGTGGTGTTATATACATTCATAATGTTGTACGACCATCACCACCATCCATTAACAGAACTCTTCATCTTGTAAAAGTGAAAATCTATACCCATGAAACATAACTTCTCATTCTCTCTTCCCCCAGCCCCCGGCAACCACCAAGAATCATTGTTTTTTTTTTTTAAAAGGGGGAGTGGGTAAGTATATCATGGTATGTATAATTGCATCTTATATTTAACAGATATTAAAATTACAAATAATTTAAATGACACAGGAAATTGCTTCTAACTGGATATTATATAATATGAGAGGGCTATAAAAATTGATATAGTTGTTATAGTTTTATGTCAAAAATGCATGGGAAAAATAAGGGAAAATGTACATATAAATATTTTCTTATTTATATATTTCTATATTTTCCTAAATTTCTACAAGGGTCACCATTACTTTTATTATGAGAAAGTTAAGCTTTTTTTTGTAAAGAAGAGAACTCCTCCATATTTCACTCCTTTTAAATAATCGTTTGGCAGAAGAGGAGCCCTCGGATCATTGCTACAGCTTCGCTGCCTTTTGGAAGGGAAGGTGACTGATCTCGTGCAGGCTTGGGAGGAGAGGCGCAGATTTATGGCAGTTACAAAGGCAGGGCACCCGTTGATGTATTTCATCATCTACAGCGTCCTTACAGCACACACAGGGACAAGCTTTAAAGCTCGAAGTTAGGAGGGAAATGTGGAAGTCACACTACTGACCAAATTAGATGATCCAGATAATTCCAGAACAGATGCTCGGCAGGTATGATTTCCAGGAGCTGTTTAACTCCATCCCAGGTAATGACCAAGTGTGAGTATATATGTGTGTGTGTGTTCTAGGGCTCCAGCCACATGGCCCCAAAGATCTGCATCATCATTAGTGACCAGACTCTGATTAATTTTGACATCCATTGGAAAATGCCAAAATTTGCTAGCTCTATGTGAAAAACAGGTGGGAAAGATCGTCAGTTGGTATCTTTCTTAAAAAGAATAGCAATCGACCTCAGTGGTATCACCCCCATGGTCCTCCCCAACTCAATCTCGTCCTCTCCCAAGCGACGTCTCCTCCCAGGGATGGCTCTCAATGATCCACTGCTCCTCCCACTCATTTTCTGATTTTCCTCTGGCAACCCAGGGTTCCTGCCCCTGCTCTCAGGGAGCAAATTAATTACAGCCACGCATCTTTACACCTTGAGACAGTGAGCTTGGTGCTTCCACAGAGAAAGGGCTTTAAAGATTGATGACTAAATCTCAGGACCCAAAATTGCATCCTTTCTCCATCTGGTGGGATTTTGGGCCTGAGGTCTCTTTGAGGGAAATATTGGGCTTTGTTAAATGCAGAGCTCAATCAATGTGATACCCAAGACAAGCATTTTGAATTAAAAAAAAAAAATTAAGAGGTATCTTTGCTGTTTAATCTGAGGGATCGATTCTTATAATTCCACTCTCTCTTAGAATTACAAAAGTTGGTGGCAGAATATCCACCTGTGACAGACTGCAGGCACCTCGTAAACTATAACAACTTAGACAACATTTTAAGGTGAGAAAGTCCATATTGTTCAGTTCTGTTAACTAGAGCGAGCCTTCCCCTACCGCAGTCCCTTAGAGCAAGTTAAGAACAGAAGCTCCGAGCCAGACAGCTTGCGTAGCTGTGAGATTTGGGGCACGTCACCTACTGAGGCTTCAGTTTTCTCATCTGCAAAATAGGGCTAAGACTGTACCTACCTCCCAGGGCTGTGGGAAGGATTAACTGAGTCAGTCAACTAGACAGAGCCTAGTATATGATAAGTTGACAATATTAACCACTGTGCAGAGTTCTTTTGTTCCCCAGAATCTGAAACATTTCATTTTATAAATATGACCTCTCATTTTCTTTCCTATCTCAGACCGCTGACACTTTTTGCAGGTATAACAACCTATACTAGCTTATTAGATTTCAAAGTATCTCTTCCCCACCTTCAAAATGCTATGTGGTATAATTCTCTCTCTTTCTCTTTCTTTCCAGAAGATTAATTTTGGTTTAAAATTGAGATCGATCACCATATTTTCTCATCATGATACTGCAAACTTACCAATTGTGGGTGAAGATTATAAAAGAAAAAATAAATATATAGTGCATACTTCGGTGTAACAAGTTTTAGTCATTGGTGGTTAGATTTTCTGCTGCACTAATTCAATTTTTGACTAAACAAAATAAGATGCAATCACATCACAAGTAGGCCAGTGATTATATTTTATAGTTGGGTGCATTTTGCTGACTACTCCAGAAGTTAGAAATATATCTTACCTCGGTGAAGTGAGGTTTCTTCTCTGTAACATCAGACTGGAGACCGTTAAGGGCAATTTGATCCTTTGTACTATAGTGGTTGTCCCGTAATCCTAGGTAAGAGGAGATAATATTGTTACATTTTAGTGTATATAAAGGATAAAATGGAATATATAACTCTACTATAAAATTTTATGTCACCTACTCACTTGTTCTATTTGACGATAGTGAATCCTGTATAGTCTAAGCCACGACAAAACCTTGGACATTCCCTCAGTCATTCCATTCCTCTCCATTTAGGCTCTCTGAGCTCATTCTTGGTTTATTAGGCTGCAAGATTCCTTCTTGCATGCGACTGTCTATGTTCCTCAGACTCAGTAATAATTGCACAATTTTAGCCTTGTCACGTTCACCATTGTCCTGAGTTTACACCCAGCGGAGGAGAGAATCACATCTTCCCAACACCATCAGAGTTAAGAAAGGCTGAAATACAAGACCAACTTGCATTCCGTCTCTTAACGCAGCCATTACTGGGGGGGCCATAGACGACACAGCACTAACATGGCAACTGTTTCAGAACATCTGGGGATAATTTGGTGATAATATTGTGAGACTGTGTAAAATCCCCCACTTGTGCCCTCCATGCACATCTGCCACAAGGACGGCTAAGACAACTACACAGAGCGCTGGACCCAGACCCGGATGACCCAGGTTCTAGGTCCAGCTTCACGATCTACTAGCTCGTCTACCAGACCTGCCTTGCACACCCCATGGAGCCCTGGGAGAAGTGCTCCCGAGTAAAAAGCTCTCTCAGATGAAGCTAGTGGGATTGAGACGTCTGCCTGGGCCCTGGGCAGACTGAGGCAGCCTTAAGCTGCAGATGTCAGCACCCTCCACCCCAAAGGTCTCTCTCGGTGGCCTTTGCCAGGTTGCTAATGCAGGAGCGTGAACAAAGCACGAGGAGACGGTGTGAGCATGGAAATCAGCGTGCAAGCCTAGCCCGAGACCCGTGTCCACAGCCCAGGGCCCCCATTTGCCTCCACAGTGGAGGCGCTCTAGGGAAGGTGACATTTCAAAGGGCTATAAGGAATGGCTCCCAGAGGCTAGTGCCCTGCCTATCAACTCACCAAGGAGTTTACTAAAAATTTTAGGTGTACAGTCATTGCCACATAATGATGTTTTGGTCAATGATGGACTGTATATGTGATAGTGTTCCCATAAGATTATAATGGAGCTAAAAATTCTTATTGCCCAGGGACATGGCCATCACTTAATTTTTTAAATTAAGTTAGTGTAGCCTAAGCATCTGGTGTACTACAGTAGTGTACATAATGCTCTAGGCCTTCACATTCACTGACCACTCACCCACTGACTCACCCAGAGAAATTTCCAGTCCTGCAAGCTCCATTTATGGTAAGTACCCTATACAGGTGCACCATTTGTCTTTTATATGGTATTTTTACTGTAGTATTTCTACGTTTAGATTTAGATACACAAATAGTTACTATTATAACTGCCCACAGCATTGAGCACAGGTTGGTAGCCTAGGAGTAAAAGACTGTACCACATAGGTGTGTGGTAGGCTCCACCATCCAGGTTTAAGTACATTCTATAATGTTTGCTCAACAACAAAATCACCTAACAATGCATTTTGCAGAACTTATCCTTGTCCTTAAGCAACATGTGACTGTAATTTAAAGCATTTTATGGAGAAAATGATATGCTACAGATTTTCAAGTTTGGCATATTTTTAAAGGGACATGACTTGAGGGAACTTCAAGGGCCACCAATGACCCATCCAAAGCCGGACTATATCTCATCTCATCCTTGGGTGACAATGAGCCCCATCAGCATTAATCCGGATACGTGGCTGTGCCTACATGCGTGACTGCTGTTGAGTGACAGAGACAGTTATTCAAGATGATGTGCACAGATTACTTTCCATGAAGCACGAATATAAGACTTGAAAGACCTCCTGGATTCCTGCACAGAGTTGATGCATCAGGATGAACTGACAATAAAGCTGATGAAGATGGAAATCACCTGGCTCTGGTCCTGTGGCATCTTGTGTGGTTAAGAACTTTGGAGTCAGCACAGGCTTTGGGGATGGACGGTTCTGTGCCTACATCCAGCCCGGCCCCAGGCCTACCTGCCGTGGACGGGCCGTAGACCCTCTCTGGGCTTCTTCATGCACACGACGTAGGCAATGCAAACCCTCCTGCAAAAATGCAGGCTCACCATCAGTGCACTGAGCACACCATATGTAAAGCACTAGGGCAGGGATGAGGTGTGGGTTAGTGTTTGGTAACCGACACCAGCTATGACTGTCAATGAGCAGGATCAAGACAGCCCTCCCCAAGGCACAGGTGGTCACTCTCACTATGGCATCAGTGGTCAGGAAGCCACTGGAATCAGACCACAAAGTCCCAGGGCCTGAATCCCAGCTCTGGCTATACATGTGGCTTTGGGCAAGTTACTCAGCACCCTCAGTTCCTCACTGTGAGATGAAGACAATGGTGGTGTCCATAGCAACATGAAAGAGATTAAATTACGTAACTAACTAGCCCTTAGTGCAGTGCCCATAACATAACAATATGCAATAAAACTAGCTCTGGGGAGGCGCCTCATCTCTAGCCAGGAGGAGGGAGCACTTCCAAGATCAGACAAGCAAGGGTCGTGCATGAGTTTCGTGTGGCTGCTGTGACAAAGAATCACATGCCGAGGGCTTATATAACACCAACATACTACCTTAACAGTTCGGGAGGTCAGAAGTCCGACACAGGTCTCGCCGGACCAAAATCAGGTGTCAGCAGGGCTGTGTTCCTTTCTGAAAGCTCTAAGGAGAATCCCTTCCCTTGCCTTTCCAAGCTTCTAGAGGCTGCCTGTGCTCTTTGGCTCACAGACCCACATCACTCCAACCTCTGCTTCCATCGTCACGTCTCCTTCTCTGACTCTGACCTTCCTGCCTTCCTCTAAGAAGGACCCTTGGATTAGATTAAGCCCTTCTGGATAACCCAGGCTAACCCGCATCTCAAGGTTATTAATTTAATCACATCTGCAAAGTCCCTTTTGCCAAGTAAGGTCCCATATTTACAGGTTCTAGGTATTAGGACATGGACATCTTTCATGGGACCATTATTCGCCCCACCACAGACTAGTTGAGGAGACTGAGGTCGATGTATTAGATGTACCGTAGGGCCTCTAAAATAATGACTGTGGAGTCTGTATAGCAACATGGGAAAGTACTTCCAATGCAATCAAAAGCCCAAGAACCACATGACAGCAACATTAAAAAAATGTGTGTGGGGATCTACGAAAACAGTAAAGTTGTAACTGCATCTGGAAATCGCCCTGGTTTAAAGGACCTGGCAGAGGATGTGCTGGCCCTGAGAAACTGCACATATGCGCTAGACAGGGCTTTGCCTCGGGAGTCAGCAGCCCAGGGTTAAATTCCATTTGTGCGGCTTTGTGTAATTTACTTGAATTCAGTGATGGCAGTTTCCCCGTCTATGAAATTAGAACATGGAACCGGTGCTGCCCGGGCCCCACCCAGCTGTTGGGAGGGTAGCAGGCAACAGCACACAGCTTCACTCTGAGAATGGTCCTCAACATCGGGCAACATCGGACACAGCCCGTGGTGACTCTTTGGAATACAAAGGCCAGGACAGCTCTGTTGTTCACGTTCCAGAGCATAAACCAAAGGCCAGACTTTGCCTGGGGCAACGTCCTTGCTCGGCTCTCGCCCAGCAGGTTTCCCTGTTCTCTCGCGCATACTTTCCTCAAGAGCGCCCCATGCCCTGATGCCCTCAACCCCTGCCCTAGGCTCTGCTTCTTGGAAACCTGACCTGAGCCAGGGTCCTACCTCACATTGCTGTTTAACAGTGGAGGCTGTCAAAGTGTGGCCCACAGACCATTTCCATCAGCATCATCAGAGGAACTTCTTAAAAATGCATGTTCTTGGATCCCCCCAACTGACCCACAGGCCTATGAGTGAGAACCCCAGGGTGGGGCTCAGCATCACGCCGTAGCAAGCCTTCCAGGGCATTCCATGCACCTCAGTCCATGGACATGTGTTGGTCTTAGACACACAAGCTCCTTCACAGCTGGTGAGTCTGAGGCCCCAGAAGGGAACCATAACGCTTTGATTCAGAAACCACCCCAGAGCTTTTAGAAAACCACACCTAGTCTGTGGGCATGGGATCTAAATGAGGCTTTTCACCAATATCTTCAATTAGAATAAAACCACCATGGAAGTCAGCATGGTGACTTTTATTTTGAAGATAATTCAAACCAGTCCAATTAGCCACCCATCGTCATTGCTGGTTTATGAGCTGGTTCTGTTTGGCGCCCGGCACTGGTCCTCTGTGCCCCTGGGGAGCGTGTGAGCTCACTGGCCTGTGCCGAGAGCTTTTCTCTCCTAAGATGGTTGGACAGATTATACTCGTGTCTGTCTCCATCAGCCCGGGCAGCACGTCCCAAACCATTCCTCACTTTGAGCTCCTTCCCAGGCCACGGCTGCCATGAGCAAACACACCACGAGGCCCTGAGCCAAGTGCTTCTGGAATCCAGGTTTCCTCCCTGGAGGAAGGGGTATGCTTTGGCAATGGAAGCATCTGGGTGGAGTCTATGCAGCGCCCAGGGTATGCGGAGCCCTGGCCTGAGAGACAGGGTTGGGGAGATGCCCTCTCCGCCCAAGAGCTCTACAAGAAAGTCACAGCCCTGCTAGCCCAGCCTCGATAAGCCACACCGAGAGCCCTTCCAGCAAGGGAACCAGGAAAAGTCTGGGGAAGGAGGGATCCTGGGAATGGCCTTTTCAGACAGGGTGGATTTAGGGAAGATGGGGGGTGGGTGGGAGGAGGTGGCGCAGCCCAAGATGAGGTCAAAAGGAAAGGAGAAAATGGCTTAAGGGAAAGCACAAAAGCAGGGAAATCCAGCGTCTTTGGACACTGAATGAAGCACAGGATGTGGCTGACACCACGTGATTCCCACCTGTCATCGGTACTGCTGGAGTTGTCCCTACGAGCACTGTCACTGAGCGAATCACTCCATCAAAGTAACATCCAAGTGATGAGCACTCGGGCCTTTGGTCTGTCCGGTAATTCTACTTATTTTC